GCAGCATAGAAACAAAAGAGTTTGCATTGGTCACTCACAAAAAATCATTGACATATGGATCTTAAATTCCCATCATAAACATAATTTCAATTAAATCATGAGAGAAAATGCTCATATCTCTTAGATCTATATGCGAGCTCATAGTACTATGTGGCCGGAACTAAGGTGGTTATTGTTGTTTGAAACTTTTGACACTTATTGTGTATTCCAATAACCTACATAGCCTTGACATTTTAATATCGTTGCCAAATGCAGGATCACTTGCTTCAATGTTTGGCACATGTTAAGACAAAACAATTTTTTAAATATGACTTGTTGTATGGACAAGTCAATAATTTCAACAAGGCCAGCATGACCATCAAGATATCTCTATGGTAAATGAAGAACAACCATTAGAATTTGCTAATTTGATTTCTTTGGGCCTTGGAATAATTGTCTTTCTCTGCACATGCCCCCCCCTTGGCGTCATCATTTCATCAATAAACGTTGGGTGAGCAAGTAAATAATTGGTGCCTACACACCGCCTGAGGAGGCTTCAGAGCAATTTGTTCACTGAAGTAGGCAAATGACTCCTCCCTGGAAATCTCCGTCCCTGTGGTTTTCCAAAAATTCGCTTTATCTTCATAGACAGGACCTGTGTAAAATGTGAGTAGGACTTCTCTCTATAAGTCAAGCTGCCTATCTCAATTTGTTCCCACTCTATTAGAAGGCAATGTGCTTTGGAAAAAATGAAATCAGTTCTCTGTGCCTCCATCTCTTATGTAAAATGAGGATGATTAACCATTCTTGTAATTTGCAGTGAAATAATATTTAAAACCGTCTCTGACACCTATAAGTGCTCATCACGTGTTTGTTCTCTTAAGTACTCATCACACGTTCACGGTGCTGTGGAGATAGCTTGGACTCCTGCCACCCCTATGTGTAACAGAATAAGATGTTGTTAAGCCCCACACATCCCACATGATCATTGGGATGCCGAAACCGGTGGTGGGCAACCCCAAACCAAGCAAAGCAACCCCCAGCACTCGATCAGGTAACATTCTGTTGTGATCCATGGGGTTTTCATTTGCTGATGGAGTAGATCACTAGGCCTTTGTCCTTAGGTTCGTCTGGAAAAGCATTTGAAATCTTTCCAACACGATGATCCTTCTGGTACTTGAAATAGCAGTAGCACAGCTTCCAGCATCACAGCAATGTGCAAGGTATCAGAAACCATCACAGGACAGCCAACGGACAGACAGGCAGTTGCATGACATGTAACACACTTCTCTATCAAGAAAAGATGGAAATATTTCACAGGAAATAGCATTTTTACATACACAAGCCAATGTAAGGAAGTCTGGGAAAAGGGGGAATGGCACATAACTGTTTAATGGGTGTAGATGATTTTGAGGGTTAATGTATGCATTTTGGCACTAGATAAAAGTGAAGATTACACTATTGAGGATATGCCAAATGCAACTGAATTGCTCATTTTAAAACAGTTAATTGTATGTTCTATGAATTTCACTTGCATAAAAAAATAATTTAATGTAGATTCCAAAAAAGTGAAAATGAAATGGAATAAATATGTGCCAGAGGAGAAATCAAACTGGTTTTGCTGAAGCTAGGTGGTCCCTGTGGCTCTCCATGACTAAACAGCTCTTGACACCTAGTGAATAAAGAAAATTACTTAATAAGTGATTTTTATCTCACCCCTATGTCTGTTTTCATTAAGACCTGAATATACCCAGGATGGCTGTTTACTCAGAGAATTAGCCAGTGTTGGGTTTTGAAAATTATTGAGGTTTCTGCACTTTTGAAATAAACTAATTTCTTTTTTTCCACATCTATTCTTCATGGACATTCATTGATCCTGTATGAACCAATCTATCTGTGAGCATCTGCAAGCCTGTAATAACAATCTGGGTGTTTAACTATTTAATAACATGATGGAGATTTGTGAATGTGTATGTATATGGGTGTGTGTATAAAAATGTACTCAAGAAATGTAACATTGGACAATTTAAAATAAGATCTGATTTTACAATTGTATGTTTGGGGATGTCAGTTTTCAGGAGTGACTCATAAAAATCATACATATTTTTCTATAAAATTTAAGAATATAAATGCCACCTTACTTGATGGTATTTCTGAGAGAGGGAACGCTAATAATTAGATGTAGCTTTATTGTTATTCTGAAGAATAAAAATAGCAATTCTTTTCTTTAAGATTGATACTTGCACATTTCAGGATTTGGGTAATTTTTGAATTGTAATTAGTATCTCTGCCATAAGTCATGAGCTCAAGATGCTCTCAAGTTTTTACATGGACTTCATGTTGGACTCTCACTGATTTAAGATCTACCTGAGAGTAACCATCCTGGCTCTTCATAAAAGAAAACCCCAGACCTATCATAATGCGTATCAGCCCAGAGCAAGCAGACAGCCAATGTCATCTAAAGGAAGCAGTTCATCACCTCTTAAAACACACAAACAAACAAAAAACCATGTTTATCAGCTTTCTTATTTAAGTATATGTCTCATGCTTAAAACAGTTTCTAGTCAGTGCAAATATTTATAATGAGGAACAACACTGAACTATTCAAGATGATAAGATGCATGTTTTCTAAGAAACTTATATACTTCCTAGACTGATAAAAAGGAGGGAGCCCAGTAATTATGGTGGGGGATTTTTGGCAGCAAAAAATGGCAGTTTACTTATTTATTATAAATTGTAATTTGCTGTGTTTTACTGTATGAAAATTTATCATTCTAAGTAGATAAATATATATAATAACAAAAGTTTCATATATATATATATTTGGTTGATTTTAATTCTTCTAACAGTAAGTCAAGTTTTTATTATAATCTCCATTTTTTTAAAATAGAAGGAGATCTAGGTTTTAACTTGCTCAAAGCTACCATTATTCTTATAGATAAGTGCTATTTTCACAATATTTTCCAAGTTATTACTATTGTAAAGCATATCGCTATAACAAATGATTAAAATAATGTCATGTATTAGAAAAAAAGTGAATGAAATAAGGAATATATAAAGGTCCAAAAAAAGCACTTTTAAAATAATCTGATCTCTAAGAGATTGAATGTCTAGACAAGTGGTTCTCAACCTGGGGATAGCAACCCCTTTTGGGGGGGGGTGTCAAATGACCCTTTCACAAGGGTCACCTAAGACCATCAGAAAACACATATTTCCAATGGTCTTAGGAACTGAGAAATCGCTCCTCTATCCATCTCCAGAGGGCCTGTCCACATGCAGATACGCCCACATACAAGTACCCAGCGTGATGACATCATTGCACCAACCCCATCACATACAGCCCATACAAATACAGGTGTATGCGCCAGGGTTGGCGCCATATGTACTTATGTGGACCAGTCACACATGTGTAGAGAGCAGCTACTGTGTTGAAAACAGCAATATTGAAGGTAAAACGACACTTCATGAATTATAATTACTGGATAAATGTAAAATGTACTGTAAAATCATCAACTATTGCAAAAAAAAAAAATCTGTACTATGGGAACTTAATCTGGATGCTGATTGGTCTTTTTATATTCAGCTGTGGTTGATGTGAATACTGCCCCCTTGTGATAGTAACAGGTATGTGAAAAAAACAACCCAAGGGTAAACCATAGGAAACTTTAATGAACTTTATTGACTGAACCACACCATGTATCATCTTTTGTATTATTAAAGCTATTGTTGTATATTGTTTTCACTAGCAAACCATCCCATGACAATGGATCATGTAGAAAAGAACGTTAAGAAAAGAAAATATAGTGAGAATGTTTTACAGTATGGTTTTCCCTCAATAATTACAGCAGGAATTGAGAAACCGCAATGTGTTATCTACTGTGAAGTTCTATCATCCGAATCTATGAAGCCAAACAAACTAAAAGGCCATTTTGATGGCAAGCATCCAAGCTTTGCCGTCCAGGATCCCAACTATTTTAGAAGCAAAGCTGATGGACTCACGAAAGCCACACTTGACACTGGTGGCAAGTACCACAAGCAAAACGTAGCAGCCATTGAAGTTTCCTATTTGGTGGCATTCAGTACCGCCAGAGCTGTGAAACCTCACCCCATTGCTGAGGGTTTAGTGTTGCCAGCAGCCGAAGACATTGTTCGAGTTATGACTGGACGTGAATTTCTTCTGAAATTGAGTGCAATTTCCATATAAATAGATAGCAATGTCCTCTGCAGCATTAGCCCCAAAAGCCACCAATAGATGAAGAGATAAGCAAGGTGTTGTAAACACATGCAAAGGAATATTGCTTGCCTTTAAAGAGGAATGAAGCCTTGAGACAAGCTACCACATGCATTAATCTTGCAAACCGGAAGCTGAGTGCAAAACATAGGTCACAAAAGGACACATTGTATGAACTCATTTAAATAAGTCATGTAGAAAGACAAGTGTTGATCCGTGGTTAGTAGCTGCAGGTGTGGGAGTGAGAGAAACTCATTAATTAAGAGACATCAAGCTTTTGTTAATGGTGATGAAAAAATTTGAATACAGATGATGATTATTCAACAACATAATGAATGTAATTAATTCCACTAGGTTGTGCATGTCGAAAATGTTAAAATGAGCAATGGTTAGATATATAGGTACCATAATTTTAAAGGGAATTTTAAAAATGTGTTTTTTTACTTTTCTTGAAATAATATTCGTAACAAGTCTCCTTTGTACAAGTATCAGCTTTTTCTCTTCCCTGTTCAAAAATTAAACTTAGCAAAGTTAATCATTTATGCATATTTATTCTATCTAAAATTCCAAGCTATAGAATTTTGAAAACACTGATTAGAGTTCACAATATCTCATATTTTATTTTGTTTATTTCTTGCAATAAACAAATTACGTTTTTCTAGTAAGAATGGTAGTTAAAATTAAGATTTATTACTTGCCTAAGGAGGTCAGTCTTAATAATTGAAATTCTGTGAAGATTTTTCTAACCTTTTTGCTTTTTTCCATTTCTTACATGCTAACTTTGGTGTAGCAGACCATTTGGGGATCGAATTCATGGGTAAGACTAAATAAATTACTCTTCATATTTCCTGGCACAGTTAAGTTTTATAATCTGCATAGTGCTCTCTTTCCTCATTTGATTAAAGAAAACATGTTTCATTATCAAATGCTATTAGTAATATCAAAGTGTTTTTGTTGATTTTTCATGATGTGATGACTCAAATTGAAATAATTATTAGGAAGACAATTTAATGATGCATGTTGTTTTGGAATCACAAAGAAGCTGAATTTGCTGCAGGCTCTATTTGATTTCTCCAATCATCAATTTTCTTTAGCAGTAAAACAGGAGTCATTACCATATCTCTTCTCTATGTTGTGACACATATCAGTTGCTTAGCACAATGCCTTCAATGTGGTAAACATTTAAAAATGACAGAAAAAATGGAGATGATAAAAAATGCCACTTTTTCTTATTTCTTTCTATAGTTCTTTTTGTTTTTACATGGTATTTAGATTCATCTTAGTATCTATCTTAACTTGGAGTGGGAGTATAAATAAACATTTTCAGTGATAAGATTAAACCATTTCCATATAAATATTTGCATCGAGCTTTTAAAAGCATTAGAATGTCTTCCATAGTATAACAATATAAAAGCCTGAAGAATTGTAAATAATTAAGAATTGGTCTAAATTGTAAGAATTATGAAAAAAAACACTATATGTTTTGACAGAGTTAGTGAAATCAAAAAGACTGAAGCTTAAACACAACTTGATTAATATCTGCCTATGTTTAATATGCTAATACTTATAAGCATATTTGCATTTATTCAACAATTAATTAAGCAATCATTAATTGAATGCTCACTTATAAATAAAGAGAATAAAGGTACTAGAGATAAAATGGTTCCTGAAAATGGATAGAACACTTAGTGTGTTATAGCTTAAAGTTTAGGAAGGCTACTGATATAATCAAAACATAAAACTAATAAATATAAAGATTAAAATTTCTTAAGACTTACTCCTGGTAAAATGATATTACTTTGGACTGGGAAAAAAGTGAATTTCTATCTAGAAAGCAATTATAACTCTTGGAGAAAGGTGGATATTGAAGAGTGGAAGAGGGAAATTGCTAAGCATGATCACAAGGCTTATTGTTTTCATATTTGGATAAGGGGTGGGTCTATTTACTGAGAAAAAATAATGAAAGAAGAACAGGGGTGATACTTACTAGGTTGCAAAAAAATAATGCACCTTACTGCCATCACCCACTCAGACTCACAGTGACCTTCTATTAGATGCATAAATACTGACTTTGTAGGATAGCTTTAATATATGTGAGAGATGTCAAGCTGTATGTTGTGTTACTCTGAGATATAAATGTCAATTAGAGGTTAGTGGTTATATATTTTTACTCTAATCGGTCTTTTCTGGAATGTGATATTATTCACGAGTGCTATAATATCTGGGTATCAGAGTAGACAGAAAGCATCTAGTTACATTCCTGAAGGGTGTGGTCTGTTTTAGATAATGAATAAGTTAAGGAGTTCTGGTGTCACCATGGTAATGTGCTGGACTGCTTACCACAAGGTGGGCAGTTTGAAACCAGGAGCTGCTCCTTAGGAGGAAGATGAAGCTTTCTGGTCTATAAAGAGTTACAGTCATAGAAAGTCACATGGGACAGTTCCACCTTGTGCTATGACCATGAGTCCTTCCACCATGGATGGGAGTCAGCTGGATGGCAGTGAGTTTATTTGGAATGAATAAGCTCAACAAGGCAAAGGGAGGATCAAATCGTATTTAAATGATGCCCCATGAAATGTAAACTAGAGGAAGAAGAAATTTAATATATGTTAGCTATATCAATGAAACCAGAGAACAGTTGCCAGAAACTCAGTTCTTGAACAAGCTGGTGAGAAGAAGAGATTACAATCACATGATTGATTTATTGATACTAATGTTATAGCTGGAATAGTCATAAGGTTGACCATCTCAAAGTATACACGTGAGAATGAGTGAATTAATTGGAATAGAGAAGGAAATAATTTGAAGAAAAATGACCCAGATCTGGAAAGCTATACTTTTATGTAGTTTCTCTAAATGAATATGAAGCTATTTGGGATGATGGTAGAGGTGGGATAAAGAGGAAAATATGTCCCATGCCAATTTTTCCAGTTTGTGAGATGCAATATAATAGATCACATTCAAGTGCAGTACCAGCTCCATGCACAAATAGAGCTCAAATTACTATAGTCTCTATTATAGTAGCAATATGGTTTTTTATACTATTTAGTTCTTGTGTAAGATAGGCGGTCCTTGTCAGCAACAAGCTGGTGTTCATCAAAGTAGTAAATAAGAGATCCAGGATAATTTTGTCCTGCCGTTCCACTATCACTTAGGATTTCTTGTCATCTGAATCTAGGCCACAGATGAAGTGAAAGAACACAGTATATAATTAGTTACTTCTTGAAAGCCTTGGCCCCCGGGGGCTCGCATCACTTTCTATTCAGACCCTGTTGGGTGGATTCCTTCATGTGACCCTGTCTTCCTGCAAAAGATGCTGGGAAATCAAACCTTAGTGATGCCAGGGAACAATAACATAAATATCATCAGTAATCTCTGTATAAGCTTTAAAGGAACAGGACTATATCACAAGAGGGAAGAGAATATATAATGAAGGAGCCAGGAGAACAGATGTGACAAAACATAGGCCGTTTTTGAGAGAAGTAGAGAAATCTTGGACCCCCTCAGGTGATGTCTGGGCTTCAGTTAAAATAGGAGAAAAAGAAAGAATTCAGAAATAAGATTAAAAATGTAGAGAGGATGGATGGATGTGGGTGAGACATTTCTAAGAGGCAAGTGGGAGGTAAAAGCAGTGGAACACGGGTGGAAAACGAATCATACACTGAGATTCCCAGAAGAGAACCTCCAGGGCTGTGCAGTAGAGTATGACTTCTTTGTTGGGGAGACTCTGTTCCCGTGCAATGGTGACAGCAGGGATACAAGGCGAGGCTGCCTGAGCAGCAGCAAATATTTTGAGTAACATGGGCCTTGAACCTAGTTGTCTAACGCACTTGTTGCATGCACTAAGGTAATTTCGAATTTGGAAGCTACCGAAACAAAGAACTCACTGTCCTGAGGCAATGCCAACTCCTAGCCAACCTATAGGCCAGGGGAGAAATGTCCCTATGGGGGAACAGAAAGTCTCTGTCATCTTTCTCCCAAGCAAAGGCTGGTGGTTTCAAAGTGCCTGACCGTGCGGTTAGCATTCAACACCTACCCACTAGTCGACCAGGGCTCCTTCGGACCCTATGGGCTCCCGCAACTCTATGTTTAGAATAAAATCAGAGAGAGGAAGCAACACATGACTGATCCCGCAATCTTCCGGACCACAGTGCTAGGAATCCAAATGTGTTCCACAATGCAATTTCTCACAATTAAAAGAAAGGAAACATCCTTTATTTTCCTAGGCCTTCCATGAAGACCTCCATTGGTAACTTATTGTCTAATAATCAAGATATGTATTAAGAGGTCTGTCTTAGAACTTTTTTAATGAAATTTATTTCTGGTTCAACAACAACGAAAAAAGACTTATACTGTGGTAGACCTATATAAATCTCAAGACTAAGGTTAATTTAGGTGTTTTCATCAGAATCAAGTTACAGCTAGCAAGTCATGCAGGGAAAGACTCCTGAACCCGTGAAGCTTTATTCCAGCAGTTAGGATTGCCTTGGGGGTAAACGGTTGGGCAAGGACTCAGAAATAGAATGGTTAAGTAGTATGCACATAAATAATGGTACCAAGAAAGGATCACTGGTAATGGTGAATAGGTTAATAAATTTAGTGAATACACTGTTCAATGAACTCAACAATCATACACATTCCTGATCCCCAAATATCACTTGGATGGAATATATCAAATTCTGAGGAAAAGTTCCTCCTAGCGAAAGTTACATTATCCTAGCAATATAGCCTCTTGGGTGGTAAGTTAGCTGCGAAGCAGAAATACAGACATAGGCTCTGTCTCAGTCATAAGTGTGTTAGTCCAGGTTGACTAGAGAAACAAATTCATAGACACTCATATGTGTATAAGAATACGCTTTATGTAAAAGAGCAATTGTATGTTGAAAAAACATCCCTGCCCAGTCCAGATCAAGTCCATAAGTCTGATATTAGCCCCTATGTCTGATATTAGTCCATAAATTCCTCTTTAGAATCACACAGCACAAGCAATGATGCCAAATGCAGGAAGGTCACAGGCCTGTGGGTAGAAGGTCTTGTGGATCCAGTGGCAGTAGAAGGATCTCAAGCAGAGACTGTTCTATACATGTCTCCTCCAGCTCTCTGAGGGTCTCAGCAGCAGGAAAGCAGAGACAGAGACAGAGGTTCTGGCCTCCGGTGAGTTATTTCTCTCTGCCACGCCTTGAAATTAAGTCATCAAGCTCTTACCTTATTGAAAGGCTAGACTCCACCCTCTTGCTCAAGTTGACCGGAGACTATAACTGCCACAGTAAGACATAGATTGATAGACAGACAGACAGCAAGATTTACTTCTAGCAATTGGCTCATACATTTGTATGGGGCTCACAAGTCCACAATCTGTAGGTAGACTCCTGCAGATTTGCACCCCCAAGATACAAAGGTTCGATAATGGGAAGAATATAAAATTCTAGCATACAAAACTCTTACTAACTCTGTGTTGTTTCCGTATTAGGATATCTTGTGAATTCCTTTTTTTTTAATGAGCTCACCAGGAACCCTAGCGGAGTAGTGGTTATGCAATGGGTTGTGATCCATGCGGTTGGCAATTCAAAACCACCAGCCGCTCCCCAGGAGAAAGACTGAGCTTCCTACTCTTGTAAACATGTAAACAGTTACAACACACAAAAGGGTGCTGAGAGTCAGCCTGTGCTTGATGGCAGCGAGTTCGGCTTTGGTTTGAGCTTTCTAGAGAACCCAAGGGAGGCTGCAAAGAGGCTATCAACTTCAATAAGAATAATTAAGGAAAATAAAGACAGTTTGACTTGATTTGTTCCTTTGTGATTGGATTCTGAGTCAGTT